GTCTGAGCATGAAGTGGCCTTGCCACTTGCATCCGTCCCTCCCCCTCCCGCCCTGGAGAAGGTTCAAAGAACAAAGTATTCTTCGAAAACACACGATCGGTTGCCATAGGCTGTGTCGTTGCTGCTATAGCTGCTGTTTTGCTGCTGCTGGTCTGGAGCTCGATCAAGTGGATCCAGTCCTTGTGCTTTTCGGCGTCTTGCAGATCTCATGTCTTGGTCCTCTACAATCCTCCACTGGAAGTTCATCCTGTAAAAGAGTTCCAATTCCTTAGATCCGCCAGCCTTAGTCAGGGAGTTCGCCAACTGGGCCTCAGAATGGACCCATCGCAGGATTACTCCTGCGCGCTGTTGTGCCTCCTTCAAGGCAATCATTTCGATGTTGGACCGTTTTTCGGCCCCCTTAATCGACAGCACCTCGGTATTCAACTTATCATAGACGTTTCTGGAGTCGGTCACCACACACCCAGGAATGGCCCTAACCCCGGAGTCAGGGTCCCTCGCGTCCTCTACTCCATTCAACATCTCTCCAAGCTGAAACCGTGCGAAGTACAAACAGTCCTCTCCGTTCACGGCTGCCTGTGTCTCGGCAGCTCCGGGGCTTCGACAAGACCTGTCGATCCTGTTGCTATGCCAACTGATCAAGTTCACATGTCCTAGCTCCCCATTCTGCATGCTTGAAGGTCCCACTCCAATCACTATGCCCTGCGTACTCCCTCCATCATGTCTGTTCTGACTGCCCGCGTCCACCCAGGCATACAGACACAAGTCCTCTGCAGGATCAAAGGCTCTGATTTTGATGGTGTAGTCTTTCCGGGCCCTTGCGCTCTGGACCAGCAAGTTTGTCCTGAGTATGGTGTCTACTGTGCTTTGACTGACTTCCGAAAGAAGAAGTCCCACCTCGGCAGACAGGTGGGGAGCAGTTTGCTGGGCTAGCCAGCTCAACGCCCCTAAGGCGGCTCGCAGGGCAGACTTCTCACGATCTGAGGTTGGCAGGTGTTTGTCTCTGCGTCGAGAGGCACTCAAGGGAATTTCTTCAATGTGTTCCTCTATGTAGCGGGCTTGGGAAAGCTCGAAACCCTCGTCAGTCTGAGAGATCTGAACTCCGCATTGAGTGAAGACCTTGGACTCCCAGTCACCCCACTGAAACCGCGCTCGGATCTTTTGCAGGATGCTCTGCCACTCCTCGTCGGCGTCTGAACCTCCAAACAAGAAGTCGTCCACGTGTCCGGAGATTACTCCCCGAAGCTCTCCCTGTGGCCTCCAAACCCACATGCATGCGTCGGCCCATGTCCGCTTGAGACCTAGGGACTCCAAGAACTCGTTCACGGTTCTGTACCACTCCAGCGGGGCGTCCACTAAGCCATAGCATGCTCGACGCAAGCGTGTGACCGAGCCCTTGGGCAAGTTCATAGCTTCGCAAATCTCATCACAAGGAATGCAATGCAAGACCCCAGGATAGTCCCGGCCTTGGAGGAAAGCTCCAGACACATCTCCTTTAAAGAGAGTCCATTTGCGACGCGCGGCTTCGTGAAGAAGAAACTGACGTGACTGCCTAGTCATCACTGGAGCTGTAGTCTGTCGGTGTTCGTATGCTACATCTTGGTAGCCAAGTAGCACTGCCCTTGCCTTTGCCTTCCGGCTGCCGTCGTCACGAACCTTCCAAGTAAGCACCCACCTCATGCCGATAGCTTGTTCTTTCGACGGTTGAAGATGAGCTGGAAGGGCTTCGAAGGCTTTTGCGGCAAGAAAGTTTTTGATCTGCGCTTCTTAAGCGCCCCTGCAAAGAATCCCTCGAAGTTATTGATCATCCGAAGCTTGCCGCGACTTGACTCTGGTAGATCCACACCGACTTCCACCGCTGCAGTTGCGTCATTCCAGTAGGCCGCCCGCCCGGTTCTCCAGTTCTCGGTGGCCACGTCTGTCCACCAACAGGCCCCCGTGGCAAAAGCTTGTGAAGCTGGCTCACTCAAGCGAGGTCGCTGTGGCAACGACTCAGTCCCTGCCTCCGTCATCACCTCGTCCTGATCAACACGGGGAGCCTCGTCCACGGTCGGCGGTGGCCTCTTCTGGCTCACGCGATAGCGGACTGGTTGGACCTCTTGCGTGGGGTCCTGTGCTCTCCGCCACTCTCCTTCCGTAGGAGTCGCTTGTTGACTTAGGTCTTCGAACTGGTTCCCGCCAATCTCTTGGGCCACTCGATGAAACGTCCAAGGCACCTTCTGGTCCCCTGATGTCAGGGACTCGACAAGTTCTTCACGAGGTGAGGCGTGTCTCAGATGTTCGGGCGCGCACTTGATGAGCTGCCGGCCTCTCACCAACCAAATGGCACTTCCCGGACGCAATTGTCCGTGTTGATCCCTCTTCGTCTCCGTCGCGAGGATTCTCGCGGGGCCCAGAAAACGGCCCTTATGCGTTCCCGGTGCCACCTTGTGCTTCCCTGACTCTTGCGTCCTCCAGAAGTATACAAGCTCACCCGGCAAGTAATCTCGCACTGGCTGTGCCCTCGAGTGAGCCGCCCGCAGCAGGCGCTGGTGCGCCTGCCATTCAGAGAAGGCCTTCTCAGCTGCACTTTGTCTTTGAACATTTCTCTCAAACTCACCATCTGCGTTCTCCACTTGAAGCTCGTCTGGCATGCCATGTGCCTCATTGATCAGTCTTCCGGTTGTGTCCGCTGCCCTTCCAAAAGGCGTGTTGGATGGGAGAAAAACCTCGTATAATCTCTCGCTGATTGAAAACACGCACCGCACATGACAACAACTCTGCAGGATCGGCTTCGGGCTCTTCTTGAGCCAACTTGTGCAACGCTTCCTTGATGCCCTGAATGGCCTGTTCACATGTGCCAATCTGCCAATGGGCCTCTCCAGGCACCACATCATGAAGAATCTGATTGCGATCACAGAACTCAGTGACAGTTTGACTCCTGAAATACCCCGCCGGATCCACCCTCAAACACCGAGGATTTCCAAAGTACTGAGTCCAACCCTCACGGAGATACTGAAGACATGTGGCTGATGAGGGTTGCTGTTTTGGGCCTCGGGTCACTATTCGAGCAGTCCTGAACCTGGAGCCTTCGTCGATGATAAGCATGAAGTTGATGTGCTCATGAGTGTGAGGATGCTGCCAACTCCCGATGTCCGTCGAGATGGTATGCCACTTTGGGGGCAAGGGCTCCAACGATGCGACATGTTGAGGGGTCACTTTAGCGCGCTCACAGCACACTGAACATTTAAATTGTTTCGCAAGTTCAAGCACCCGGGGAGAGGCATTCCTCCTCCGAAGCGCCTGAATCAGGTTTCGAAGATTGCTGTGTCCCGTCGCGGCATGGAGGAGGTACAGCTGTTTCTTAATGCGTTCATCTTCCTTTTCACGATTATGTTTGAACTTGTTGCTCCAAGTATGGGGTCCCTGTAACACCTGGGCCTCTTCCACCTGTGGACTCGCAAAACCCTGGTGCTTTAATGTTTCTCGCTGTTCCGGACTGACATGTACAAACCCTCTTCCCACAAAGGCCGTCACGATGAACCCTCTCCCTTCCATGGACATGTTCCATGCCAGGCCTTCGGGTTGAACTGTACCCATTGCCCCGCCAGCGGGAGCTTCCGTCCGTAGATTGTCTCGCCATCGTCGCGCACCTGAGGCGTGAGGGTCTCGGGCTGCTCGGGGTGAGGCTCGTGCACCCAGAGCTCTCCTCCGGTGAACTTACCTAACCCCAAGGACCTATTCGGGTAACGAGGATCGTTGTTGATATCACGATGCAACGGAACTCTGTTGTTTTTGCTGATCGTGAAGGAAGTCCAACAAGCTTTGCTGCCCAACTCCTTTCTGAGGAAGTGATTTATGTATTTGGTCACTTCAGGCTGAAGAGCAGTTCTTTTCGTTATCCCATATTGGGACCCGTAGCTATACAGTCCGAAGGTTCCGTATTGAGGTCTTTGTCCTTCGACGAGGCTTCGGGTTTTAAGGGAGGGCTTGTGGAGGTCCAAAATCCCTAGCAACTGCTCGCAAGCTTTGTGGGAATAGTCGTGTTTGTGGCATTCAGGGTTCGGGCAAGGCTCTCGGCGGGATCTTCCATAGCTTGGGCTTGGAGGGCTTCAGGACTGTTTGTCTCGGATCTAAGATTACTCGGGTTCTCTGGAACCTGGTGCAAGGCCTCGAGGCTGTCTTCTTCAAGAACTTCGGATCCCCAAGCTACACTCGACTCACGAAGACAACAGGAGCATTTCTGAGGAGGCAGGTTGGGTATCCGCAGATCCTTGCAGACACAGATGTCGCCGACTCCGAAAGCCTCCGGGAGACCTGTGTGGCCCGCGAGCTCCTGAAACACAGCTTGATGGCTGAGCTCCTGCAGGATGTATTTTGCCGCCCGTTTCACGAACTCTGGGGTGTATGGGATACCTTGCATGGGAGGTTCTACTACCAGTAGACTTCGCATGAAGATAGTTCTTGGGACATCTACAAGGAAGATCTAGGGCTTGCGCTAACCGGGCTTGCGTGGTCAGGAGACGCCAGCCGTTGCGTATGAAGCTGCCTCCCGGCGAGTCTCGGAGATTCACAGCACATCCCTTACAGGTGACATCATGCAGCTCATACTTAGCCTGCAACTGATTCAGGAGAGGAAGTCTCCATGCAAGGCGCGAGTCACTCATGGCCCACACCACATGTATTCCTTGTTGAACACAGAAATGAAACAGGACACTGCATCCTACATACGCCTTGCGAGCCATCAATCTCTTCTGATTCAAGGCTTCTTGTTGCTCTCCGGTTTTCTGATTCATGCTCTGAAGTGGACTGTAGGAGCTACTGGGAGGGTTCAACCACACCAACTGGGGCCTTTCCACCTCAATCCTTTGCATCACCAGCCTCAACCCTGAAGCCTCTCCTAAGTCACACCCGTTCCAGAGAGAGCAACGCGCTGCTGAAGCTGGATTGCCCGACAGCTGTTGAACCGCTGTCGTCAACGGACTCTCCGATTCGCATCCCACCTCCAATAAGGCTAGCCGCTCATGACCGCTCAAACTCTGGAAAAGCTCAGGAACTATGCTCCAGGCCTGGTTCTCTAGGTGGCGGGCCGCACTCTCGCTAAGGGGCTGCTTAAGACCCGGGCCACATACCTCGTTGGTTTCGGAGGTGATCGTCTCGTTCTTCATCGAAGGGACCACGAAGCTGCCATCGGAGACCTCGGGAATCATCTCCTCGTCGGGATGGTTCTCCTTGCGTGCACGAGTGCACGAGTCCCCCGTCGCTCGTCCTTCAACTCCTGTACATCTTTCTGAAGATGTTGAAGCACCCCCACCAGCTGTTGCATCATCTGGGAGTCCATTGAGCTGCTTGAAGCCGGATACTCCGAGACCGCCGAGGGAGCCGACGTGCTTTTCGCCTTGGGCCTGGTGGCCTTCTCCTTGCTCAGCGCGGTCGTCGCCGATGTTGTAGTAGAGGACTCGGTCCGCTCGATCCACGTCGCCAGTCGCGTCATCAGAGGGTTGCACTGCCCTTCGGCAGCTGTGGCGCGCACCCATTTGACATAGTCTGGGTGAGCAGTGAGGACCTCTGCATAGGACAGAGTGCTGTAGTGTCCGAACCCGACGGGGTCGGTCTCGTGGATGGCAGCCATGTCGTAGATCTTCAACAGAGCTGCTTTCTGAAGCTGCACCAAAGTGTCGTTGCTCCGGGGGTGGAGGTGCAACTCCTTCTCCATGAACGCCATCACATCGGCCTTCTTGGAGCCCGCTCGATTCATGGCCACCGTCAGCCGCTGGTAGTCGGTCTGGGTCGCCTTCGTTGAGCTGGAGATTCCTTGTTCCTCCCGAAGCGACAGGAGCTGAACCTGCAACTCCATCTTCCGGCGCTCCAAGTTGGCCACACCACCTAACTTTTCGATCTCGATGCCGAGCTCCTTCTTGCTCATCTGCGAGATGGCGGGCATGCCGGAGCGCGGGCTTCAAGATAGAAGAGGGTGCGGCGCTCGTGTTGTTGATGCTGCTGCGGCTCGAGGACACATGCATGCTGTCGTGCTTCATGTGATGTTGCATGTGCTCGGCTTCCGAACGTGTGGTTTCAGAATCAGTTTCCCCACTATCAGCATGTAAACTCATAACCCCTTGTTCTCCCCCAGGGCGGTTACAAGAAACACCTGATTGGTTCCCCACGTCTGACAAACTACTCGGTACCTTCTGCTCTCCATCAGACGGCCTGGATTGCGGAAGGAGCTGTCCCTACTGAAACAGCTCGGGAATGCTTGGCAGAGGCTCCTTGAGCTGGACAGCATTCTTATACAAGTCTTCACTCAAAGGCAGAAGCTGATGTCCAGTGTTGGACCTCTCCAAGGGAATCGCCTTCGAGCGATTCAGCTTTCGGAAAACTACATAGTCCTGCTCGAAGTCTATGATGGCCCCCAGGCTTCTCAAGCTGTCTATGCTAAAAAGAATTGGCCCTTGACCCTTGTCAAGAGTGTGCACGCGGAGACGTCCGGCTTGCCCTGCGGCACGCAGCCTCACTTGAGCCGTGCTCATACATTGCTCTTGGGAACTGTTCCCGAAGCCGAAGACCGGGCGGTTCTGAGGGTCGATGTCGATGATCCCGTCGTGGCCGTGCTTCTCCTTATTCACTTTCATCAGCGCCTCCAGCGCCGCCACGCTGGCCAGAGTTCGCGTCGCGCCTCCGTCCAGAATAGCCTTCCCGTCGTTCACGGCCTCCGTCGTGCTGATCCCTGTAGCGTAGGCCTCCGCGTCCTTCTCGGCCGTGTCCATGTAGCACACGAAGGGGGCCTCATCGGTCACCTGGGCACTCTGTCCACCCTCGCGGTTGTCGGGGCAGTTCGCTGCCCTGTGTCCGAGCTTGCCGCAGCGAAGACACGTCAACTTCGAATCGTCTCGTGTGGATGCTGCCGGTGGTCTTGGGGCCTTCTGGTAGGAGGTCTGGAAGTATTTCCTGGACATCTTCACCTCATGTTGGCGGGCCCTAGCTTCCTTGAGCGTGCGCCTGCCGCGCTGTATCGCCGCCAAGGCCTCTTGAGCCGACGTCTCGGCTTCACTGATCAGGGCAATGCCCTCCTCGTTCATGCCCTGCTCCGACAGGAAGGCGGCGTCCACGGTGAGGCCGAACTCTTCGTCCTCATCCTCCTCGATGTCCATGTTCTCACTGAGGTAGCTCGCCCCTCGGTGACTCCGGTCACGTCGGGCGATCTCTGTGTCAGGCCACTGGGCCCTCAACTCCGCAGCCACTCGCTGCAGCCGGAAGTCGCCTTGGATCGCCGTTTGAACCACGTTCCTCTCGTGGGTGTCGAGGTTTGCATCCAGGAGAAGAAAGCATCCCTGGACGTAGTCGGGGATGATCTCCATGACCTGATTCCCAGGCGTGGAAGACCGGGGTCGCGAAGACCATGTCATAGAAGGCTGCCAGTACGCTGTTCCCCAGCTGCCTTGCCACCAGTAGCTGTCCCAGCTGCCGTAGCCCTGCCACGCTGATCCTCCGGCATAGGAGCTGTGGCTCCCGGTGTCAGCATCATCTCCCGTGTCCGGTGGCACTGGTGCCGCTGCTTGGGCCGACGGCTCATCGGCCCCCGGGTCCTCTGACTCCACACTAGTCCTGCGGCTCCATCCGGGTCGACTCCGGTTCTCCCACGCAGCGGCTCCATATCCGGATCCTTCACTCTTCGCTCGGGGCCAGTCGTTCTGCTGGTCCTTCTGGATACGAGCCAGTGCTTGTTGGGCGCGAACATAAGCCTCGCACTTCCGAGTCACATAGTCATTCACTGTCTCTCCCGTCTTACGACGAGAGCCGGGAAAGTACTTCAGGAGAAGCTCTGACAACTCTGGTAATTGAGGACGTCCAAGGCGGGCGCGAAGGAACTTCATCAATTCACTCACGCCACCTGGATAGGCGGCCCAATCGGCCGTCTGACCCAGTATGAGCCTTTTCGCCGAGCCCGTCAACTCGGCCTTCAAGCGGGGGGCACACATGCCTCGCTTATGCCACTGCTGGATCTGCTCCCAGAGGTAGCATTCTTCCTCATACTGCTGAAAGGCGGCCGGGTCTCCATTCCACTGCGGAACACCTTCTTTGCTCTTCGGGGTGGCGGTGGTTTCTCCACCTCCTCCGCTCGACATTTCCAGCTGAGACTCCTTAGCGTCAGCTGGTCAACCAAGGTCCCTGGATCTGCAGGCGAGCCCCTTCTTTTCTGAAAGAAAGAGCTCCGCTACCGTGACAGCGGAGGGAAGCCGAAGTGCTCGAGCTCTGAAGTGCTATGCCGCAGCTGACAAGGAAACGTGAGGCCAGGCGAACGTGGCTAGTCTTTTTCCCCTGGCAAGCAATGCTTGTGCACTCGTAGCTGCGACAGACATCGTCTTAGCATGTCTGAGCATGAAGTGGCCTTGCCACCTGCAAACCCTATACCCTAAACCCTTGAACCGTAAACCCTAAACCCAAAGCCCTACACCCTGTACCCTAAACCCTATACCCTAAACCCTTGAACCATAAACCCTAAACCCTACACCCTTGACCCTAAACCTTTGAACCATAAACCCTAAACCCTACACCCTGACGCTAAACCCTAAACCCTAAACCCTATACCCTAAACCCTTGAACCATAAACCCTAAACCCTACACCCTATACCCTAAACCCTAAACCCTTGAACCCTTGAACCCTTGAACCCAAAGCCCAAGGGATCGGGGTGAATCTCGGACAAAGCAAGTGAGGACCCGGCACTTCTCCTCGTACGTCTCGTGGCAGGGACAAGTCCTTGAGAGAGATTCGCTTTCAGGGCTGGGATTTAGAGTTTAGGGCTTCAGGGTTTAGGGGTTTGGGGGTTTAGGGGCTTTAGGGCTTTAGGGTTTAGGGGTTGAGGGGCTTGAGGGCTGTAGGGTTTAGGGGTTTAGGGGCTTTAGGGGTGGGGTAGTGGGGCTCAAGGGCTTTAGCTCGGGATTACGGTCTAGGGTTTGCAAATTGAACGAGAACAAACCCAAAACCCAATGATGCGATGCCTTGCCCTCATAATTTAAACCGCCACCACCACCCCCATCATACAAAAGTCCCCATCATCATCAAAGCTGCGCGCATGTTGAACTCTCCGGGGTGCTTGGCTAGCTGGAGGTTTGGAAGTTATGGATAAGCTTGCAGATGAAGTCTTCCAGCCTCTAGCGAAATTCGTTCCTCGGCGGACGTCTTCTGAGCATGTGGATTTGGGAAACATCGGATGCTTCCCTGTCCAGAACAAAGGTGTTGGAGCGACAACACATCGCCGTGAGGAAAAGCAATGCCGTCTGTCGTAAACCAAGATTGCAACACAGATAGTTGTCCCAACATGGACATGATATCGCTCCAGACGCTGGCAAGGGCGCATGAAAACTGGCCCTAAGGCCAAACTCCCCCCTATTGCCCCTCTCCGAAACCCTAAACCGCCTCCCCTTGAGCGGAGAACTACGCCCTGGCTGAATGCACGCAAACCGTAAACTCGATAACCCTTGCGAACCCTTGCGCTGCTGATGAGCCCCAAAGCCGATACCCGAGCTCCAAAACCCCAAACACGACCCCGGGCCCCGCACTCGTTGATGGGATGGCATGTCTGGTTCTGAGCCATACTCCAGTCTGGAATGCCTTCGGCAGGTAAGATAGGGGCCTGAACGATTGGAATAGGGTTTTGCGGCGGAGCTTTCAATATAGAGGGACATCATTCGCGTAGAGTACTGCCACTCTTCCGTCCCTACATCAAGAAGGTTGGGAGTTTAGCTTGTGGGTGTAGAGTAGTCGTCTAAACTATGAGACTGCGGGTGTGGTAACATCGGGATATGTTGTGCCGTGACTCACGGGCATGCTAATTGGAATAATCAGCGAAATATGGAGGCTCCTTAACGCGTGTCTGCAATCGAAGCAGCACTAACCACCTGACCGACCATCACCGCTTCAACAATGGGTCGATGACTTCCTATGCTTCAGGCCAACTGCAAGATTAATGTAGGCTTTTGCTGTTTGGGGCTTTGGCTCCTGGACATTAGTCTTCCAGAAATCAGGTCTGGATTGGGGCCTCTGCGTGAAAATGGCTTCAGATTCAAAGCCCAAACCCTAAACCCTACTAAACCCTTGAGCCTAAAGTCTAAAACCCAAGCCCTCTGCCCGGAACTCTGGGGGGAGAACCCGGGGAGCCTGGGCGATCAGGGCTCAGAGTTGGGACGTAAGGACAGGCAGAGCTAGGGTTTGGGATTTCGGGGCTCGGGGACCTACGATTCGAGGGTTGACGGCTGAAGCCTCAAGACGATCTCAGAAGTCCCACGCTGAAGCTTCGGCGGTGGCGGTGTCCTTCAGACTCTCAAGGCTGTACTTTACTATCGAGGTTCGTCCCTACTCTGTGGTTGAAGAATGCTGTAGTGGGGAGTGTTGAGGACTAGCTCTTGCAAACCCTAGATAGTAGGATCCTGATTATACATGCCCCTAGAGTACCTCGTGATTGTGATAGAGATACCTAGACCCTAAACTCCTAACCTTAAACCCAAACCTTAAACCCACACTAAACCAGAGATGGACTCAGCTCGGCACCATCCGATCCATAGGGCGTCAACCAGCACTCCTTCGTGAGCTGTCAGGCTAAGGGCTCAAGACAAAAACACTGCTTGGGGTTGAGGGTTGAGGGTTTAGGGTTTAGAGTTCAGGGTTTAGGGTCCAGGATTTGGTGTTTGGGGTTTCGGGTGCCAGGAAGTCCCTTCTCCAAGGATATGCTCAACAAATGTTACTGGTGAGCCCCAAAACGCCATTGCCGAAACCCCTGTCTCACGGCGCTGCTTTCGGAGTTTAGGGTAAGGGTTGTATGGCTCAGGGATTTGAAAGCGATGAGTACGCATGTAGGGTGTAGGGCTCGGGGAAAAGCCCCTAGAAAGAAGTATCCCCGCATCCTGCATCAAGAAAGACTCTAAACGGAAATCATAGAATTTCAAACTTCAAGTACTTCAACGGGCTCCGTGTCGTTGATGCCATCCCGTGCACGGAGCAGCAGCTGAACTAACATGTGTTTTTCTTGTGGGTGGTGCTTCCGTGAAGCTGAAAGCAGCATCGTCGGATTCGGATTCGAGTGTAATGTAGGGGCTTTAATAATTAGAAAAGGGTTTTGGGCTCCTTCATTCGTATAATCAGAGTACGGAACCCTAATAAGGAATATTTCAAGCAATTATTTAGGCTTCTATATTATGGTTGGTGGGCTTCGGGGATCTGGAGCTTTTGGTGCAGGTGCTCATCTCAAGATTTTGGGCCGTGGGGTTGGGGGGCCCTGGTGGCTCGGGGCTTCAAGTCTCCTCTTCGTTTCGTGTGCCCGGCTCCCCTCTGGAGCAATATACGATAATCTGTCATATAACGTGTACTGGTACTATGACATAGACTGTACTATGATATACTCTTTTTGAAGGACGACTTCTCTAAAGATATTATATGTATACATGTATACATGTATGCATGTGTGTGTGTATGTATGT